ACCTGCGACCTCTTGGTGCATGGGCCAAAGCTCAACCACTGAGCCACACAAGCTGGGCTAGCAGGCTAAGTTTTAAGTTGATAATTTTGTATGGCCCACGAATGATGTTTTAAATATCCAAATGGCCCTTGGCAGAAAAAAGGTTCCCACCCCTGCTCTAGAAGTATAAGCTGACCTGATTTAGTCTCCCCCAGCTAGGCTCAAGTTAGGTTTCTCAGAGGCCGCCTCCTCTCACAGATCACTCTTTTTTTTCTTCCTCTTCCTTATTTTCAGTCCACACCTGAGGACATTTTTGCATTTATCTTCAGATAGAGTGGGAGGGAGAGAAGGAGGAAGAGAGAGAGAGAAACATTGACATGAGAGAGACACATCAAGTGGTCGCCACCCACACGACCCCAACCGCGTCTGGGCACAAACCACACCCGAGGTATGTGCCCCCAGCAGGAACCGAAGCCGGGACCCTCTGGTCTGCGGGCCGATGCTCCAACCGCTGAGCCAAACTGGCCAGGGCTCACAGATCACTCTGAAATAACTCCTTCCCTGAAGAGTTAAAACACCTTTTGTGGAGTAAAGATTCCTCACTGGTTTCAATTCTACAGAAAATCTACTCTTTGAGCTTGTCCTATTGCAATCCTGACAAGCAGCTTCTTACTCCACCCATCACTTGCTCCAAGCAGGGTTTAGCTCTCTTCACGGACCCCAGTGCTCTTAATTCTAACCTCTATTATAACTTCACCTACACTGTTAATGGCTACATACAGCAGGCCTACTTCCATGGAAACTGTGTTAAACATCTACCAGGAACTTAGTAGATACTGAAGAGATGTTTGTATATACAAAGAATGAGTGAATTAATCTGTAAAAAAAAAGGGGGGGGCTACTTCTTAGTCCTCAAACTTAAAGAGTGTCATGAAGGTTTCTAGAAAATGTTCTACAACTACAAAGTAGGATTTACTTACTTAAATGAATATAATCTGCAACTGAGAATCTCTGAATGAACAGGCCCAAGGGTCTTTCACTAGGCTATAAACTCTATAAGGGCAAAGATTTTTGCCTTTGTTCTCTCTGTTTATTCACTGAGACACATAGCAGGTGCACAACACATATTTACCGAACAAATATATGAACAAATGTTGTGTGGATATTACTGTTATATAAATTCAGTTACTACAGATAAAATACATTCCAGCAGAGACCAGCCCTGTCTTCTGGCTGGAGCAGACTTAAAAATTTTTTCGTTCTGTGTCCTGGCCTGGTAGCTCAGTTGGTTAAAGTATTGTCCCAATATGCCAACAAGGTTGTGGGTTTGATCCCCAGTCAAAGCACATACAAGAATCAGTTAATGAATGTATAAATAAGAGGAACAAATTGACGTTTCTCTGTTTCTGTTTCTCTGTTTCTATTTCTCTCTCTCTCTAAAAATCAATAAAATAAAATAAAAAAAACTAAAGAAATCTTCACCCTGGCCGGTTTGGCTCAGTGGTTAGAGCGTCAGCCCGTGGTCCAGAGAGACCTGGGTTCGGTCCCCACTAAGGGCATGTACCTCTGTTGCAGTTTGTCTCCGGCCCTGGTTGGGGTCATGTGGGTGGCAACCACTTGATGTGTCTCTCTCACCTCGATGTTTCTCTCTCTCTCTTCCTCCCTCTCTCCCTCCCACTCAATCTGAAGATGAATGCAAAAATGTCCTCGGTTGAGGGTAAAAAAAAAAAAAATCTTCGTGTTGCTTCTAAAGCAGATCTTGCCTCGGGACTAGGCAATTTATTCATGAAACACCAAGAAAAAATATTTGCCCGCTGCTAGCTGGTAAGAATCACAGAAGTAAATATATCATGAAAATCAACGTCATGTTTTATGCTTTCTTGTTGCCTAAAAAAGCTGGTGCACTTCAGAGGGAAGAAGGCTCATAGGAAGTAGTTTCCTGCCCCTGAAACCCAGTTATTTCAACATGGCAGCTGTTTAAAACCCCACATTACCATGGGGTTTTCAAGACAGGAAGCAGCAGTGGCACACCTAGCTGAGTACAGGGGAGAACACACAGCAGAGAGGAAACAACATGCCTAATGAGAACAGGGCTTGAAAGTTAGCTGGCAAAGTATAAAAACGAGCCAATTTCTCTAATGTCTCTTATAACTGAATTTACCTGTACATGGTAATCATTAAGAAAGAGAAAATGAAGGACACAGAAACAAATAGCACCTTCCTAGGTCACCAACTACTCCCTCCTTTTCCATCAGCAACTCTCTTTCCATTTTAATGATTCTTAAAAAATTGGTAAGAACTTGATTGTGCTTAAATGGGAAAGGGAGTTGACTGTGATGACTTTTCTCCTCTATTTTCTGCTTTCCTAAATTTTCTGATTTTCCTATAGTAATTTCTCCCTCTTGTTATGAGAAAATAATCTTTATGGTTAAAAAAATTATAGAGCTAAAAGTATATGTTCTAATAAGAAAACACATTTAAAAATCCTTTATCCACAAAAGAATAGCAAAGAATTCAGTAATACCAAACCATCCAATCTTCTCACTCAACATATTGCCTTAACCCCTTTCCTCCTCAACCACCAGTATATCTAACAACTCATTTATTTTAAAAATCATGCCTTCATAATAGTTACAATTTATGTTGCACACAGTTTCCATGCATTATTTATCAGATTTTTCCCAACACATTTGTGAGATGACCATGATGAATATTTTTAGTTCCATTTTACAGATAAGTAAAATAGGGACCTGAAGTGAAACAAGTTGCCATGATAGAAGCCTGGATCTTCTTGTTCCCCACCTGGTATTCCACAACAGGATTTCTCAACCCCAGCATTATTAACATGCTGTAGGGGGCTGCACCATGCATTACAAGATGTTTAGCAGCAACATCCTCTCCTCTACCCACTGTATGTAACACTGCCTCCTCCCACCACCACCCTAAGTTATAACAACAAAAAAGTCTCCAGAAACTACAAGTATCTCCTTGGATGCAGAAATCATACCCAGTTCAGAAACACTGGTCTAAAAGAATCTGAAACGTTCCTTCTGGTATCTCTATGACTGAGGCTCCATACACCATTGAGCCACAATAAATCAGTGCATCAGATGCTGCTTACTCAGCAAGGTTCAGTTAATTAACCAATTCCCTATCCACTTAAAACAATTTCTTTTACTGTGGAAATGAACAAGAAAATCTCTTTGTACAAATATTCACATCTTATATGATGAATCTAAAAGCATAGTATCCCACCCTGGCCAGTGTTGCTCAGTGGTTAGAGTGTCAACCCTCAAACCAAAGGGTCATGGGTTCAATTCCTGGTCAAGGACGTGTACCTGGGTTGCAGGTTGATCCTGGGGCCGGTTAGGGTGCATGCGGGAGGCAACCAATCGATGTATCTCACATCAATGTTTCTCTCTTTTTATCTCTTCCCCCTCCCTCCCTTCCACCAAAAAAAAAAATCATTAGAAAAAATACCCTCAGGTGAGGACTAACAAAAATAATAATGATAAAATAAAAAATAAAAGCATATTACCTCATTATAACATAATAAGGATATATAATAAAGATAAATAAAATGAATGTGTGTGTAGGGGGAAAAACACTAATCAGAGGAGTTAGAAAACAGATCTTGGTCTTTGCTAATAAACCTTATTAATTCAACTATACTTACTGTTCTCTATATAAAAGTTGAGTACATATAAACCTACACAGTTCTCAATACTTGCTTCAGCCGGGTTTCTATTCAAACATGTGTTACTTAAAGCTATTCAGAAGAAACTGAGTGATAACTGGAACATTGCTAGAATTTATGGTCTAAACCACTAGTGTTGATGAACCCAGAATCGAACTGGTCAACCTCACAACCCTATTTAGACACAGTATAAATTTCTTCATGCCATTTAATCTGAGCCTCTATTCCTGCAAAAGCAACTCCACCCTCAAAATTCATTGTTTTCACCAGCTTTTTAGCACATGCCTGAATTGAAAAGATTTTGCAACTTAATTCGCTTAACACCTTAAATCTTTACGTAAAGGGTGGATACCAAACGATCAGAAAGATAATTACAGGTATAGCGTTAGCCAAAATAATATTAAAGCTACCTAAATTAAGACTGTAAACCAAAATGTAGTTATATTTTGGGAAATGTTTGAATTGTTTTATCTATGTATGTATAATGTATTCACACCCTATCATCCTTTCTCAATAATAATAATTAGTATATTGCAGACTGGGAAAACTATTTAAACTGGCTTCTATTTAAGTGTCACTGCAATCCTAGTGTAAAAAAATATATATTTTGCAGCTATTTAATGAAACTAAGACACAGAGAAATTGCTTAGTTAATATGATATATAGAATTAAGGAAAAGTTGTGAGTATTCCATCTCACAAATATTCAGGTATGATGTACTTACATCTTTAAGTGTAAGCTATACACAGGAGATATTTTCTCCATATTACAAAGCATATTGTACCCGAAGTGTCTGGTCTCCATTAACCTTCACCACAAAGTACAAAAGCACACATGGATCCTTCAGTGAAAACAACTCTCAGGTCTTGGAAAACATCGGAGTCACCGAAAGCAAGAAACAACACAAAATGGGGTTTTGAAAACAAAGAACAAAGGCTTAATCAATATAACAATGCTCCTTTAAAAAAATTTTCCCCCACTGTGTATATGGCCATAACTCGAATCTTTCTCTTAAAAAACAGCCGTCAGACTCCATGATCCCATCTAATTGTTTCCAAGGCTGTTAATGCTTTCCTCTCCCAAAAGAAGTAATGACAATTTTATACAGCTGTAAACGCCTGCCACTAAGAAAAACCCTGTAACTCTAAAAAGAAAAAGAAAAATCTTAGTAACATGTATCCCAACCACCGGCAGAAGACAGCCCCCAGACACGTATTAAGAGAAGCGGCCTGGAGGTCAAGGTCCTCCTCTTCCCCAGGGACACACGAAAATTCACAGCGAATATACATACAATAAAAATAAAAAAAAATGTGCACAAACACACCTGGCAATAATCACACCTTTTGTCTAGTCTCCCCAAAGAAGTTCCTCGGTAAACACACGCAAGGAGCCCACATCCCTGGAACCTTGGAGAGTGACTTGTGAGAGACGACCCGAGATGTCTCTTTGATGCTTGATGACCGCTCGGGGGGATCCGAGGAGTTACCCGGGGGCCAGAGACCAGACCCCGTTTCGGTTAATCGCTTCTTTTACAGTCGGATTCGCAACTCCCCAGGTGACTGTCGGTCTCTCTGTCTGTCTGTGTCCCTCTCTTTTCTCTGGCCCTCTAGTTCGGGATGCGTCTTTGCTGGCTGCCTAGGGCCTGGGTCCCAACAGAACCTAAAAGGGGAAGGGGCGTTTCCTGAGTCCACAGACACCCCCCAGCCGCCGCAAACACGGCCCCCAATCCCAGAAACTTTCCCCGCTGACATGGCCAAGGAGGAAACCCGCTAAGACCCTCAGCCTCTATCCTGAGGCCAGGAAAACCCTCCTCCCGCCCCCCGGCAATTCTACCAGAGAGCTGGCGGCCACATTCTCCGGGCAACGAGGGACGTCAGACCTCAGCCCGCGCCCGAGTCTCCGGGTGATATAAACAGGATGTCAGGCTTGTTTATGAAAACTCGCTGTGCGCTCCAGGGGAGGGGGCGGCGAGCCTTCACCTTTCCCCGCCCGGCCGCGGGCCCCTGCCCCGCGACCTGTCCGCCGCCGGCCCGCTCCGCTCGGCTGGAAATCCCCCGCCCGCACGCCCCCACCCCGCCCGGGCCCTCCGGCAGCGCCGCGCTCGCGGGCGGCCCGGGGGACTCGACGCGCAAAGACCGACAGCGGCGGCCGCGTCTCACGCCAGCGCCAGGTTTCGCGCCCCTCGCCCTGTCGTCGGCGGTCGCAGACGGCTTCTCCGCCGCCCCTCGGTGACACTCACCACTTCCGCGTGCGCCTGGGCAGGGGGCTCCGGGTCGCTGCTCGGGTCCGGCTCCGGCGGTCCGATCGCTCAGCGGCCACCCCGCAGGGCCCCGGCGTGCGCGCGCCCGGGGCGGACGAAGGGGCGCAGAGTGGGCAACCGGGGTCGAGGCGCAGGCCCGCGTTCTCTGCGGCTGCTGGGTACTCCGCGGCCGCCGCGGCCTGCGCTCGGCGACGCGCCGCCTCCCGCCCCGCGCCCGGCTCCGCCCCCTCGTGACGTCCCGAGCGGCAGCCCCGGAAAGGGGGGCGGGGACCGCGGTCGAGACAGCGGCACCGCCGACGCGCCGGACCCTGTGCTTCCAGCCTTTTCGCCCCGCCCCCATCCGGCTTCGCTCACGCCCCCGCCCCGAACTCGCTGGCTTTTACTGCGTCTTCTAGAAACATCAAGCGAGGGGATGAGAGGTCAGCCAGCGCAGAAAGTAAAATTGTCAGGACTTGGCCACAGGTTGACCCCTCCCAAGCGTGGAGTGCCCTGCACATCTTTGTGCACCGTGATGCATTCACCATAGTCCTCTGCCTCTGTCCCCATCGAGTCAGAGGGGAGCTTGTGGAGCACTTGACTAACGGGAACTTCAATAACATAAATCTTCCCAAGTTGACAGGTTACTTCAGATACAGCCTATTCCGTATCTAAAGAGCTCTGAATTTAAGAAAAACTTACTTGTAATAGTAATAACTAACGTGTGTTGATGTTTAATGTGTCCAGCACTTCTCATTTTTTTACTAAGAATCCCTGAAAGTAGGGATTATCCTCTTTTTATCCGTGAGGAAACATATTAAGGCTTAAATATCTTAAGGTCCTACTATGGTTTAGATGCATTCCCCGTAAGAAGGGTACAGCCAAATCCTGACAATTTTACTTCCTAAATATTTCTCCAGTCCATTCGTTTCTCCAAGTGTTTCAACATTATGGGAACTGCCACTCTCTCTCACCTGAAGGACCACAAACACTTCTTAAATTGTCACTCCGCAGTCACTCCAATCTCCAATTAATTCTCCACAGTGAGCTTTTAAAAATTCAAATCTAGCCTGACCCGGTACTAGCCTGGTGGCTCAGTTGGTTGGAGTGTAGGTCAAGTCGTAGGTTCCACCTCCTTGTTAGGGCATATTCAGAAGTCAACCAATAAATGTATAAATAAGTAGAACAACAAATCCTCTAGTGGGTTTTCTGGTCTTACATAATATTTCCATTCTAGCATGCCCTTTTCCTTAACTTCATAATCCTTCCTCTGCCTTCTGCCAGGGCAACTCAGGCTTCTGCACTTCATTCAGGTTCGGCCATCACTTTTTCCAGGCTTCGAACAGCCATCCCATAGTGAGTTTGCCTCATCCTCTAAGGTCCTTGGTAGGATTTTAAATTCCGTATTTTAAAAAAGGACTCAGCCCTGGCCAGCATGGCTCAGTTGGTTGGAGTGTCATCCAGTGCACCGAAGGGCCACAGGTTCGATTCTCAGTCAGGACGTATACCCAGGTTGCAGGTACCATCCCTGTATGGGCACATATAAGAGGCAACCAATGGATGTTTCTCTCTCACATCAATGTCTCTGGTCTCTTTGTCTCTCTCACTTTCTCCCCCTTCCTCTAGCTCTAAAGTAAATTTGACCCTTATGTGTGAACTCCAGAAATAGTTACACTTCTCTTGGGCAAGGTTACTTATCACTTATGTAACCGATTGCATTTTCCCTTTGATTATTAGAAAGCTAAATCAAATCTTAGTCATACACATATTACATATAGAAACTGACAACATATGCTTTATGTTGTATTATACGCACATCTTTTCTTGCACTTATTTTCACTTCACACTGACCCTTTCAGTTGCATTTATTCAATATACTAGCTGCCTATCACTGTTCTAAGTACGTATATATTATCTCATTTAATCTTGGTTCCCCTATTATGGGATCTTGGCAAGATATCAAATTTCTATAAACTTTGATGTCTTCATCTGTGAGACTAATCATAATGTCCACTTTATTTATTTTTTATTAATTCTCACCTGAGGATATTTTTCCATTGATCTTCTAGATATAGTGGAAAGTAGGGAGGGAGAGAGAGAGAGACAGAGAGAAACATCTATGTGAGAGAAATACATCGATTGGTTGCTTCCTGTATGACCCAGACCAGGGCCAAGGATTGAACCTGCAACCAAGGTGCATGCCCTTGACGGGAATCAAACCTAAGACTCTTTGGTTTGTGGGCCAATGCTCCAACTGCTGAGCCAAACCTGCCAGAGCCATAATGTCCACTTTAAAGGGCCATCATGAGGATTAATAATGATAGTTAATATTATTCATTATTAGAAGACACTCAAATGTTTTTGCCAAAAAACATCAAAATACCTGATATAATTATTTTATAATATGTCAATGTAGTAATTTCTAAAAAGATAAAGATCAGTTTATTATAAAAACACTCAATATACTGAGCAGAATAATTGTTACTAATCTTATCTATTATGGCTTTAATCTAATTGAAGTTTTTTGTGGTTCCTGTAATTAACAGCACTATAACAGAATCAATAAAGCTAAGTTATAATGAATTTCCATACAGAAAGGCTCATTTATGGGGATATATATATATATATTTCACAAATGAGATGCTGCCCTCTTCGGAAGACAGTGAGCCTAAGGATGCTTTACTTCAAAATCTATTCAGTTTTAAGGAATACCAGACTGCTTAGGACTGACTTCCTAGTAATAATAACTTATTATACACCAGAGACTTACTATACTGCATTAATAATAAAAACACTTTGTGAAAAGAAATGGTATTCTGACAAATAGTCTTAGTGCCACTGAACCAGGAAGCAGGAGACCCGAATGCTAAGTGAGCTCTGCAACAGACCGAAGAGACATAAGGCCAAATCTCTGAGCTCACATTTCTCCTGGGTTAGATCCATGATTTTATGATGTCTATCAGCATCAAAATTCTGTGTATCTTTTTTTTTTCTTTTATTGATTTCAGAGATGGAGGAATGGAGAAGGAGAGAGAGAGAGAAACATCGGTGAGAGAGAACATGGACTGGCCACCTCCTGCATGGCTCCCACTGGGGATCGGGCCCACAACCTGGACATGTGCCCCGACCGGGAATCGAACTGGCGACCTTTTGGTGCATGGACTGATGCTCATCCACTGAGCCACACCAGTCGGGCCTGTGTATCTTTATTTAACCTCATATGAAAGTTATTAACCAAGAAACCATATTTGCTTTTGAAGTGGAAAGCCTAAATTACCTGCCCAAAAGCAATAGGAAAATAAATTATAGCTTAACAAGAATTTGATTTCTTCCCGAGTTCTAATTTTCTGTTATTTTTGTCTGAGGCATCCATCTGAAAAATAAATGATCAAGTGTGAAGTGGCTGATACAGGCAGGAAATGTGATAAAATGTCAGAGACAGAGAACATCACTGAAAATCCAGGTGGACTTCTGTAGGATGAGATGTGAGCTGGCCCTCGAAGGATACTGAAAAACAAAGAGGTGGGGAAGTGTCAAGCCTATATTTAGTTGGTATTTATATCCTTTCCAGAATTGTTAAGAATAGGTTTATTTTATGTGTGAAATGTATTTGTGCTGTTTTCACTTAATTTTAGGTACAATGACAGCAGAAACCATGTGTAATATTTATATCTGATTCAGCATGACCGATATTTACAAAGTGCCTATGGTACGCCAGGCGCTATACTGGGTAAGTTTTGGAGGAGAAGGAAAGGTAAAGGAGGAAAGAGAAAGGAATTGGAGATACAATTCAGAAGTCAGCTGAGACCCCTTTGCCTCTCAAAGATCTAGGTAAACTTGGTTTGCACTCCCACCCTTTACCTGAAGTATACAGCTCTTTCAAGAGCTAGCTAACTTCCAGAGAGACACTTCCACCTCGTCATGTCTAATCTGTTCTGCACAGCGTTGAAATGAAACTCTGCCCCTTCCTCGTTTTCCCATCAGAGGCACTCACAAAGCTCTTGGGGTTGGTAGCAGTCGCTGGAGATGTAGGTAATTGTAAATAGGTATCATAGCTCTGCTTTGTTGCTAGCTGCTCTCTCCCTGTTCCCTCTGCCCACTGGCCTTTCTTACACTCTTCACCTCAAATTACCCCCCAAGAAAGCCAAAGTCTCCCATTAGTATGCACAGCAAGTTTTCCCTCCTCTAACATCCAAGCCCTTGGGTCTCAACTTTCCCTCAAGCTTCTGTGCTTCTATCCCCAAGAGGAATTGTGGCGCCGGCTATTAAAACATAGTGGCATTTTCTCCACCTTGTTACAAATAGATAAGTGCACTGGTGACTCTAAGAGAAACTCAAAGTGCTAGGGAGGGACCCAAGAAAGAAAAAGTACAGGAAATGGGTCATGAAGGGTTTTTTTTACCCCTTCTAAGTGGTCTTTCTCTGTCTTCCAAAGTCACACATTTATTGCCTAATCACTCCTTGGAAGCTTGTCCTCTGCTGGCTTCTGTTGCTATTTCTCCCTCCATGTGTCTGTGTTTTGTCTCCCTGGCCAGATTTTTCACAGGTCCGGCACAGTGGCTTCTCTCATTCCTCCCAGAACGCTCATGGCTAAGAGGCCTCACTGGCTGGTCTGTTGAATCCTAACCTGCGGGAACTGTATCATTTGCCTAACTTCACAATACCTTTCCTAAAATGTCCCCCAAAGGCCACATGGAAGGAGTTTGTTTTAATT